TGATAAGTGTGTGTGGGGGGGGTGTTTTCACAGTGATATATCAGACATGGGATATTTGCCCAGTGATCTATCGGGGGAGGTGTGTGGCATTTGCAGTGCTATACCGGGGGGCCACGGGTGTTCGGACAGTGGGTGGTGGGTGTCGTTTTCACACTGCAATCTCAGGAGGCCGGGGCATTTGCAAAGTGAGCTACCGGGGCAGGGGGCTGTCGTGTTTGCACAGTGATCTAGCGGGAGGGGTATTGCCACAGTGCTACACCGGGGGCACGTTGCGTTTGTACAGGGATCTCTTGGGGTCTGCAGCGTTTGCACAGTGAGATAGCGGTAGGGGGGTGGCATGTGGCATTTATTGGAGAGTGTTTGCAAGGGGAAATAGCGGGGGTCTGGGGTGTCAATACAGTGCCATAGCAGGGAAATGGGGCATTTGTACAGTGCTATCGGGGCATGCAGTGGGCATTTGCGCAGCGGTCTATTGGGGAGTGGCATTTGCATAATGATCTATTGGGGTATTTGCACAGGGCTACATGGGTCTGGGGCATTTGCAGAGTGAGATATCGGCATGTGACATTTGCACAGTGATACAGGGATCGATTGGGGTGTTTTCACAGTGAGATCGGGGGCTGGGGCATTTGTACAGAGAAGTTTTGGGAGTGCCTTTGCCCAGTGATTATCAGGGCAGGGGCGTTTGCACCGTAACATAGTGGGGGGGCATGTGGCATTTGTACAGTGAAGTTTTGGGGGTGCAGCTGCAGTGTGATATATCAGGGAATGGGGCATTTGTACAGTGCTGTCTCTGGGGGCATGTGGCAGCTGCACAAGGGGCGATTGGGGGCTATAGGCACAGTGCTAGAGCAGTGGGCGGTCAGCGAGGCATTGGGGAGGCCGGTCAGCGATCTATTTGAGGGGGAGGAGTGGATGGTTTTGAATCACTGAATTTTCCATTGCTGGGTCCCACGGGGTGAGGCCAGAGCCTGCAATGAGGCACATGGGTAAGTGTTTGCGGGCTGGGGGGCAAGTGAGCCCCCAGCAGGCAGCACAGTTGGGGGTCACCCAGGGCCACACGGGACTCTCTGCTTTAGCCCAGCTCAGAGGCTGGGCCTGCCCTGGCTCACAGGCAGAGGCCAGGCCGGCAGCGCCCAGCCCTTGGCCCAGACTGGTTTATGCTCATCCAGTCCCCATGGCAGGGTGGGGGGTAGGAGGTGGGCAGGGAGGTGTGATCCCAGCCCCGGGAGCCCCACCTCCCACAGAACCTGGAGCTGCAGGGTGGGCCGTGGCTGTTCCTTACTCTGCCCCTGGCATGGCTGGGTCAGCCACTGGCAAGCAGGGGGTGGGGTGGGGGGGACACCCCCAGGAATAATGCAGCCCGCTGAGCTGAGGTCCTCAAACCCAGCCTAGGCCTGGTTCTGTAGGAGACCCGGCCTAGCAAAGCAGCCTCACCCCCAGCCCCGAGAGCGGAGCTGGCACTGCCCCCTTGCCAGAGCTGGGCTCAGCACGAGGTGCCAGGGCAAGAGATTCACAGGCAGTGCCCAGTGGAGGGGGCACCACTAGCAACCAGCCAGCAGGCTAAGGGCAGGTGGGGGGCACTCAGCATCCCTGCCATGGGAGCTGTAGGGGGCAGCGGTGTCGCTCTCAGGGCGGGAACCTGGCAGGGCACCCATAGGACAAAGGGGCACTGGCCCCTCCCCGGCCCTCTCCAAGAGTGACGCCCCCTAGAGGAGGCCCCATCTCCCAGTGGGGAGCACTGGCACAGGAAGAAGCCAGAGCTGCCCTGCACAGCCTGTGCCAACCTCAGCCGGAGTGAGTGCCTCCCATAGCATCGCCCCAGGGAGAGCGCACCTCCCCGCTTTGCCCCCCTGCAGGGCCTGCTGTGCCCCCCGTACTCCCGCACCAGCCGAGCGCAGGGGCCACACGCGCCAGGTGCTGCACACATAGCGAGACGGCGCCTGCCCACTAGGCCGCGCTGCCTCCCCTCCCCGAAGAGCAGCGGTGCCGAGGCTGCAGGAGACATGAGGAGGCAGGCAGGAGGCGAGAGGGGTGATTATTGCACTGAAGTGTGTGTACAGCCAACATGACCCTGATGTATACAGCCGCCCTGCATGGGGCACCCAGGTACACCACGCTCCCTTTCACCCAGCCCAGCGGAGATCAATTCACCCTCCTCCTCCCGGACTGGCCAGCAGCACAGCCCCTCGTGCCAGCAGGGCTGCCAAGGATCAGCCGCAGGGCAGCGGGCAGACTCTGCGCCAAGGTCCTGGTGGTGGGCACTGCCCGCTGCTCCTGCCAGCCCAGGATCTGCAGGTGCATGCTTCAGCGCAGAGCCCCCGCTGAGAGCAGGTCTCTGGCCATGGCCCAGCCTGGTCCTGGGGGTTTAGTCCCATGCGGGTGGGGGGCGTTGGCGGGGGGAGGAGGAAGGCGCTCGCTATGTACACAAGTCCGGCCTCCCCCTCATGAGCCGGGCAGGCCAGGCGTCCACTCAACTGGCAGAGTTCAGGGTCTGGAACTTCTCCCGCAGGCTCCTCACGCGGCCGTGCTGGCCAGCGGCCGCCTGCTCCCAGCCTGCGGCCCGGCTGGGCTCGAGGGCCGGGCCCTCCTCCAGCCGCCGGTACTCGTCCGACTCCTGGTAGGCCTTGCAGCGCTCTGCCACAGCCTTGAGCGAGATCCGCTCCCGCGAGGTGGGAGAGCGGATCTGCACGTAGCTGGCGGCATCGGGCAGCTCCTCGGGGGCAGGTGGGTCCCCGCCACACGGCACCTTCTCCAGCACGATGACCCGCTGGTCGCCCAGCATGGCCTCCGCGGTGATGCGCAGTGAGCCAGCGCTCTGGTTCCTCTGGCGTTGCCGCGCGCTGGGGTCTGGGCTCGCCTCGGTGCTCCGGTCCCTCCCGGGGCTCTGCTCCAGCCCGCGACAGCCCTCCTGTCCCGGGACGCCTCCCGGCAGCTCAGCCACCATCTTCTCCGGCGCCGACCGGCTCCTGTTGACTGGGGGGGGCCGACGTGGGCCGGGGAAGGCCGTGCCAAAGGAGTACCTGGAGCGCAGCTCCCGCACGTCAGGCCAGGTGAACGTCTCCGCCACGATGGGGCTGAGCGAGCTGCAGGACGAGGGGTCGGGCGAGATGCCACTGCCGGGCGAGGTGGGGCAGGAGGGGCTGTAGGAGAAGCACTTGGGCGACTTGTCTTGCGAGGAGGCGGTGGCAGAGAGCGGCGTGCGGGGGCTGTACTCCTGCAGCACCACCTGCTCAAAGGCCGCGAGAGAGAGCGCTGGCTTCTTCCGGGAGCCTGGGGGGGGAAAATCACACGTGCTGGTGAGCGGAGGGGCCAGAGCCGGGGGCACCTGCCTTCCCTGCCCTGTGCCAGCCCTGGGGAGTTTGG